CGGAGATATTGGCACAGTGCGCGAATGGATGATTGAGATCTGTGCTATCACACGCCTGAGAAACGGCGATGGCGACAGAACAGAGCTATCATTGGACGCGACGTTGTGCGCTTCCACAAATGAGATCGAAAGCCTGTCCCTCCTCAAAGACGATGACGAAATAAGGGTGCAGAGTTCGACGCGTTGGAATTGAGCTGAAATCCAACATCCATCGCAGCTTCAGGTGTAACGAATCGAGTGACAAAAGTGTCACCATCGCTTTTTTAAAGCTTAGCCCAATCTCGCAAGAGACGATTGTACAGACAACGAAACCCTCTCATATGACATTTGACCTTGCCTAAATAATGCGGACTGCGATTTACTCGCTACAAAAAGTTAAACTGTTTTCTAAGTAAACAAACAGAAATCACACCCCTTTGGTACCATTATTTGGCGTAAAAATGTCGCCCCTATGTTGTTGACTTAGTAATGATGGCCTCGCCTCATCAGTGTTGCTTTATGCGTAAGTGCCTCCGATCCATCACATTGGTAGTAAATTAATGAACGTGAAATTGCTTCACGAAATCCAAACCAACGATTAGCTTTTCAGCGTCACAGTTTGTTATAATGAAGGTAATAGGCCAAAAATCAACAAAGAAGACATCTAATAATGCCGATGACATTCTGCTGCGATGACTTGATCCGTCGCGCATTGAGAGCACGACAGTTCAAGACCACTCGGTCTCATCTCGACCTCAGCGATTCAAGTATTAATTTCTTGCATAAAATTGTAAATTGTAAATTGATTTCAAAATGACAGACGTACGGGAGGCTTCTTGGCGAACACGTTGGATTGAGCTACACGCAGTATTTGCAGCGAATCCAGTCATTTGCATGGAATAAGTCAAGGGCGGGGGGAGGAGAGCAAGGAAAGTCAGCAAGGGTGGGACTATTGAGATAGACAAGAGATGTATTTACGTTTGAAAACACACACACACACACATACAAACACAGTGACATTGTGAGAAAGGGCAAGGAAATCGATTAATCATCATTGTCGGTGCAGTAATAAGCGATACTTAAGGGGAAAAGGAGTTCATTAATTGCCAGAATTGATAGAAGGGTAAGTGGGCGAACAGATGGCTGGACGGTAGCAGGGTTTGACAGGTGTCCTATTTACACAAACACGCACACTAGGCTACTTGGATCACAAGTGATCATGTAAAAAAGTCAATCTCCATCAAACAAAGGCAGGCTTCGTCTCATCGCCGTTGGAGATGTTGGTGATTGTTACAGAATTGGAGTTGGAGGCGGCAGAGGCTGAGGCGAAGTGAGGATGATTAGCGAGAATGCTGGAATTAAGAGGTCGTAGGCCAACAACATCGGTCAGATGCCCTCCACAAGCCTTTGCACAAGCGTCGGATGCAGCACCTGCTGCTCCACCGACGTTAAAAGCGCCTGGCAGGTCGGGACCCACTGCCACTGTTTGTGTTGGCTTGTTAGACTTGTTCTTCAGCGCGGCGTTCTTCGCTGCTCGTTCCTCCGGTGTCAGACTTGCATCACCAAACATAATGCTCACACGACCGCGGGCCTTCAGTTGCAAGTACTGCAAGACCAAAAACACAGTGGAATAAAATCAGGAATTCAAGGCAAACCTTCAAGCTACTCAAATACATAATCATGATCACTCACGTTTCCATCCTCATCACGATGCTTCTCGTGGAATTTGAGATGGACATTAAGGTTTGACTTCTTATTGAATCGACGTCCACAGATATGACACTCAAAAGGCAGCTGACCCAGGTGAATTCGCACATGCTCGTTGTAGTATACCGACTTGGTAAACTGCTTGTCACAGTAAATGCACTTGAAACGCGCGTCCTTATGCGTCAGCATGTGCATTCCAATTTGTGTGACAATCTGCATGAAATAAAAGTGATAGCAGACTTTCTACGAATACGAGAGAAGAGGGAGAAAACAGAGCTCACCTTTCCGCAGATTTGACATTCAAACTTCTCCGGACCCAACTGCATGTGCTCCACACGAACATGCCGTCGCATAGCGGTCTTGCTTTTAAAGGAGACCGAGCATTCAGTGCACTGGAAGATTTTATCTCTGAAGTGCTTTTGTCGATGTTGTGAATAGCAACGTAAATTGGCGCACTGCTTCTGACAAATTTCACACTTGATGGGTCCACTGTGCGTCTCCTTCATATGACGTCTTAGGTACGTTTCAATGCGGAAACGCTGCTGACACACGGGGCACTCGTGCAGAAGCTCCTATAGAGACCAGAAGAGAATTTCGCTTAAAATGATGCAATAGATGAGAAGGTTATGACAAACAATAAACCCTTACCAGATTGTGCATTCGAGCAATGTGATACTTGAGAGCCGAGCGTTTGGGGTAAGTGATTCCACAGTGTTCACAAGTAGCAGGTCCTTGCTCCCATTCTGAAGTGTCGTGGCGCATTTGAATGTGGTGCATGAGAGCTTGTTTCGAACGGAACTCCTTCCCACACTCTGTGCAGGGGTGGAGCACCCCCTCAGCGTGCTTCTCTACATGCAGCCGATGCGCACGACGATCAGAAAACCTCTCCCGACAGTGTGGACATTCGTACATGTTGGGTGTGAGGTTGTTATGCACTTCTCGAGCATGATCCAGCATCCCCTTGTGAAAGGCATAAAAGGGTGTTGAAGTGCACACATCACATCGGTAGACTGTCTGCGGCCCAGCATTGTTGTATTCGGAGAGGGGAGCATGATTCGCTTGAAGGTGGTTGGAAAGCTCATTCAAGCTTCCAAATATTTCAGCGCAAAAACGGCAAACCAAGGATACGTCAGATGTGATATCATGCGCAGATTGGAGATGGTCTACGTACTGTTTGCCTGAACAGGGGCAGACAAATTGGCAAAACTTGCACTTTAACTTTGTTGTTAGAGCCTCTTCATCACTGGCTCGGTTGCGAGGTTCCCTAACTTGGACAGGACCTAGCATGCCGGTAGTGGGATCTTGTTTGAAGATAACACCGTGTTCTGCCCATTGATGAAAGTAGTAGTTATGCTTCGAGCTGTAGAAGTTGAGACATGTCTCGCAGGTGGAGACCTCACTCAGCCTCTCTGAAGCCTCAGAGGCATTGTCCTCCACGTGCACTTTGTAATGATAAGAAAGTTCTTCGATGGTATGCAACTGGGCACCACAGAGGAGACAAGTGAGATGGACGTCAGTGAAGTGCTGCTTAATCTCATCTACTGCCTGACCGCAGATACCACAGACGGACCTGTCACTAGCATTGCCCGAAGTAGCATAAGATCCTTGTTCGAGAGGGCTACGAGTGCTGAATGAGATACCATCACATATTTCAAGGTGCTGTGCCATTACATCAGCAGTTGGAAAGTAGTCACGGCACCCCTCACATTGAGGTGATTCCATGCGACAAGAAAGGAGAGAGCTCCTGGCAAAGACATTGGTTAAACCGGGGAAAAACTTGATGTCTTCGTCGCCTACGGAGACCTCATTAACACCTCCGTCTTCACCACCACCCTCGTCATCAGGCTTAAGCGAACTGTCGGCGTGTTCCTGCATGTGGTTTAGCAGAGCTCTCCGATCCATGAAACACCGACCATGCTCTGGACAACGGAACTTAGTCAACCCTATATGCCGAAGCTCATGTTCTAGCAAACCGCTAACGGAGTGCAACTCCTTCGAGCATATAGAACACACACCCCAGTGCTCAGGCATAGGAACGGGTGGAGGAGGAGGATCATTAGGATTAGCTTCAGCTGACGCTGCTGCTGCGGCCTCTGCAGCTTCACGATGTTGCCTAGCCAGCATTTTGGGAGTGTGCTTGATGGCCATACGGAAAACAACATCGTAGAGGGAAAAGGAAACAGGACTGGTGTAGACATGGTCAACCAACTCATCACAGAAACTTGCCACTTGGTTCACAAGAGTTTGCTGGCCGAAATGCGGAAGATAGACCATAGGAAAGACAGAAGAGGTCGAGCTTTCTTCATTGAAGATGCGGAGGAAGGCAGAGGAAGCTCGAGCATCACCAGTGACGGCTTGGGGTGCCAGGGCAGCATGATCAGGATGACCAGTCGGATTACCATAACCAGCTGGGAGAAGTTCTACAATTCGCTGAAGAACACGATTCTCATCCACCTGGAGAGAGTAGAGGAGTCCGTTAATAACTACGAGACGGCACTCTGTAATATTGGGAGAAAATTTGGCCTCCACGGCAGACAGGGTGTCCGCAGTGACAGAGGAAAACTCGGTGTTGAGGGCAGAGGTGTCGAGAGGTCGAACAGAACATTCGTTAGCATCAATTATCCAAGAAAGACGAATGGGAACCTCAAAAACTATTGCAAGGGGAACGCGGCGTTGGCTATCTACGAGGATAAACTTGGAGCAGCGATAGATGCTTGGTGTTTCCGCATCCGTGTTTATGTTTGTAAGCACTGCATTCACAATAGCAGTGCCACTTGAAGCAACTACTTCACGAAGAGCAATGGAACGGAGATTGTTAAACACCAAATCAGGTAGAATAGCTACAGCTTTGCGTTCGATCAAAGCTTCGGGATCAGCGGTGAACATACCATCCATGAGGGCAGGAGAATCAGAAGTGATGCCGAACCGGGAGAAAAAGAAATTCTCCTCACTAACGAGAGAGTACACTTTGAATGGACTAGAACCAGGTGGACTAGGATTTGGCATAGGCGGGCTGGCACTGGCCTCGTAACAGACCAAGATAAGAGCATCCTTCCGACTATTGGGTTTGAGCAAGAAACAATCCATCAAGTGAATGCGACCGATTTGGGGCGAAGTGCGAATGGTCGTAGTCTCAGCCGATTCGTCTTCAAGAGCCCTTAAAGTAGCCACATCATCCAAAATCTGCTCCAACACTCCATATGTGTCCAAATCGATAGGAAGCTCTTCGGTCACAGATGATGTCCGGTCAGTCACCGTGAGCTGAAGAGGCCCCCTTTGGAGGTTCTCAAAGTTCAGACTTCGCCGTTTTCGAGAAAGTGGAACCTTATTAAGATCCCAGGTGTCAGTGAGAGCTATGCCCAATAGTTTGTTCTCACTGTTTACAGCTGCAATGATACGATGGAGACATGGTGGCTCGATGGCTTCAAGGTTCACTGAAGCATCACCTTCAGCGGTGTTATTACCTCTCTCTGCGTAGCTGATTATCTTCTCGTAAGGTAGAGCCACAAGATCATTCAATTGATCCCAAAAGTCGTTGGAGAGAATAATTTGATGCACGTCTGTCATAAAACGACCCATATGACCGGCGCTATTTATAGCGGTCTGCTGAATCAGTGAAACTTCAAGATCTGTAAAAGGTGCACCAGTTTGAACAAGGACGTTGAGATCGCCCTCCAAAATATACGCCGGCTCAATTGCCATATCCGAGTCTAGACTCTTAGATAGAGTAGAAAGTCTTTCGGCAAAGGCACACATATTTGAGAGAGGAACTGGCTGCTGGTGAATGATGGGCACAAACCAAAGAATTCTATTCGCCAGAGTATCGTATGACTTAGACATAAATGCGTGCAAAAGCTCAACCACCTTGTCTGGATCATTCACACGACCCATGAGACTTTGCAAGCTGGCAGAGGGACCAAAAAATAGACCCATGTGTTGGTTACTAGGACGGCACATGTCAACGAACATAGAATCCATGCAATTGTTGAGATATGGACACTTTAAAAAGTTCGTGTAGGCATCGAGGTCAGCACGAGTTTTGAGAGAGGTTGCTAGGGCACTGTATATATTCGAACCCCAACTGGCACCCACTTGAGTGGCTGGTCGATTGGCAGGTCGGGAACGGGAAGCGCTTCCTCCACCACCACCGCCAGCTCCAGATTTACGATTTTGCCGAGCTGCAGCCGATTGTCGCATTTTGCGAAAACGCTTATCTGAGGCGATACTCTGAGCATCAAAGTCATAGATGTCTTTATCGCCATTGCCACCGAGAGAATTACCGACCGCCCCAACCGCAGCTGCCATGTCGGAAAAGAGTCCCAAGGGTTCGTCATGCCTACTTGAATCCTGCATTGCAGACACCTCATTCATCAGGCTGACACGACTCTCCTGCATCCCATCGTCGTCATCTTCATAATCGCTGATATCGAAATCGTCATCCTGGTTCTGTATGCTGGAAGTAGCAGCATTCGACCTTCGACCTCGACGCCTACGAGGAGTCCTTGATACATCCACGTCCATTTCCTCAAACTCGTCCTCGTCATTGTGATCAGCTTCAGCTGCATCGGGCACATAGTCGCTGCCTGCATCGTCATCGTCGTCATCGTCATCATTATCATCATCTTCTTGTGTGGAAGAGTCTTCTGCATAGTCTAGAGCACTAGCAGCTAAAGCTGTGAAATCCTCTGCTGCATCAGCCTCATCGGCACCGACGGCGGATTTCGCGGCTTTCGTCCGAGCGGTACTACCACGACTCCTTCCACCTTTGCCGCCACGAGACGACTTTGTTGAAGCAGTGGTCCGTGGGCGTTTCGGAGTACTTTTTTGGACGGAAGGCGCGCGACTGCGACGCCTACGAGAAGTTGAAGGGGTTATCGGAGATCGGTCCTCATCGATGGCTTCTGGCTTTGTTGATATCGTATCCATTCGTAGAAGGCTACAAATGTTACAATGACCTCAAATCCAGTTAAAAGCGCTTAAGAAACAAGAAAATACAATAATCGTGGCAAATATTTAACAATAAGTCGTGGTTATTAGCTCTGACGGGTCTTTTCAGCCCCAGAACAGTTTAGAGGAAACCGAGACGGCATCAACACCAATATTTACAAAGGCACTACCAATTTGGGTCGAAAGAGGATGGAGCAGAAGACCAATGGGTGACAGGAAGACGAACGCACAGATAACAAGCAAGAAAGTGTAGGAAGAAGACTAAGGAATTCAAAAGTTTCCTTCAAAAGCCGTAGTTAACCATCAGAAAGCCAAACACGGAAAACACTAGGCCAAGCGCGCAGCAACTACTTAATTTGCTGCAGAGGTCTACTAATTTATTTCAGTAGACATAGGTCAGTAACAAAACAGGCTATAACATTCAATGCAGATGAAAAGGAGCCCTTCCTCAAGCGATGCAGTAACTTTGAGAATGGAAATAAAGCTACGAAAACGAGCCCATGCCCACCTTTCCCGAGTTGCAAATGGCTGAGTCCAGCAAAACCGAAACCGCGTTAAGATGAATAAAAGTAGAAAAACAAGGGACTTGCATCGGCAATTAAAAATGTTAGAAGCGCAAAAAGTTTTATTACTTTTTGTTACTTTTGCTTAAGCTATTCATCTGAAATATTTGCATTTGACTTTGTTATTGATTTGAACATCCAACAAATTTTAAAATTTTCACAGATTTGATAACTGTAAAGATAACCCCATTATAAATAAAATATATCTCTTCAAATATATGTTTTTGCTAAATTGAGCCCAAATAGCTTGGAAATGTCTCGAGTTTTGTAGCAATCAAGCAATAAACATGAAAATGGGGAAAGAGCTCGAGATTTGTAATGGTTCTAGCTTGATTAATTGTTAACTTTATGAGAGCTTCAGAATATCAATTTAGGGGAGTGCACTGTAGCGTCCCGAGGCTTCCTATAGGGTAGAAGAAGGCATAAGTGAGGTTGTATACAAGTATTCCGAAGACGACATGGCAAATGGAGCCTGAGCGTGCTCCGAAGGCCGGCGTACCTGTACAGAGGCCAGACGAATATTAAAGTGACCCCAAACGTCAGGTAGTCACATAAACGAAGCATTGCATGCAAAAAACACTTTCGCGTATTTGGTCGACATCCTGTGGAATCTTCCACAGCGCTTTAGCTCATCCTTATTCGCATAGCTTTTAGGAAGAAGATTCGTAAGAGATATTTTATTGGACATGGCTATGTAGGTAAAGCCTATGGAGACTAGGCACAACCAAGATACAGGGTCCATTTCTCTGAAGGATCCTCGCACATCACTTGCGCAGAATTCGAATTAACCCACCATTTTCCCTCTTAAGAGCAGCTTTAACACAATCGCATATATATTGCGCATACACTTGCCGATACCCGATTTTCCTTTTAACTTGCATTCACCCAATTATGTCTAATAAACTCCAATCGAAGTTAACCTTCTTCCGTGAAGGCTGGCTTGTAAAGTCTCTTGACTTTTGGCAATAATATTAAAAGCATATCCAGCATCTCAAGACTTCTTAACAGGAAAAGAATCCATTAATTAAAGTCGAGTACATACATTCAAGGAGGAGAAGAATCAGTTTAACTTTTGTTTCACCTAAATTCTAACTAATACTAAAAGGCAAGGCGAATGCCCATTAGTTAACATTAGGCATGCAGATCATTGTATGAACGATTGTTTAAGATATGTTCTGTAGAGAGGTGGCAAGAGTTAATTTCGATGATTTGTTTGAACTGGCCTCTATATCTTAGGTGAACTACCAACCTTGTCGATTCAGCATTCGTCATACCATTCTCCTGCCAAGGAAACAAAGACTAAGGGTGGCGAGAGTGTATGAGAAGGTAGTGCAATAACAGCAGGACCTATTGAGTTATTTATACTCACAAATATAGATTAATGGCATTTTGACTTAGTTCCAACAAAAGCAGGAATGTAGCCGAAGTCACTGCTCCTCATTTCGTGTGGCCTATGCGCTTCTATCTTATGAGAGAGCCTCCGGAAGTAGAACGCGCTATCTATTATTCTAATCGATATGTTTCGCACGCAGGATCATCCAGAGATTTCTTATTTTTTATCAGAAGGTATAACACTCGATACAATACATACATTAAACCAAGGAAAAAGGCTATAAGCTTAATGGCGCTGGTCAAATGTAATCAAGACGGTCAAAATCTGCATGAATACCTACTATCGATATCAGCCGTAGAACAAAGAGACTATTGCCTTTTTACACAGTATACTGACTTCGCTAGCTATCATATTCTGCTTGTTTAAGGAAGTGAGATGGACTGCGTCTTTGCTAAGCACCCTTCTCCCTGCCCCAAGCAATTTCGACTGGATTTAAGATTTGTTTTGAAAGAAATAAGGCTTACAGAATAAGATGTGATGCATTGTTGATCAAACTTCTTACGTAAATAGCAGTTTGACGTACACCTTGCATTTGATAAGCAGATTAACGGTCGATCAAAGCCAAGCCTAAACATCTGCCATTTCAATCCTATTATTATGCTCAGTGGGAAGACGTAAGACGCTTTGCAAGTATAGTAATGGAAAATGCACGCAGCACTTAAAAAATACAAGCCTTTATGAACGAAATGGGCAAACAAATTTGAGGACGAATGTTTAGAGTATGCATTACAAGGGTATTGAATGCGTTGCTAATGGTCTACCTATTGTACACAGAAATGAAACGGATTCTAAAGGTGGCGAGCTTCCTGCTAAAGCATATGCATGTGCCTAACGCTTCGATAAACATACATAAATATTCGTGGCATATTCGCAGATAGGAAAACTGAGATAATGTGACATCCAAATATAACGTCCCGGGACTTCCCACCGGGCGGAAGAAGGCAATAAGTGAAGCTGGATACATGTATACTGAAGAAAACAAAGCAAATGGGCCTGAGCATGCTCGAAGGCCAGTCCACACGTACAAGGACCAGATAAATACTAAAGCCAACGCTGAATGTCAATTAGTCACATAAACAAAGCATTACACCAACCATATGCACAGGCAAAATTATTTTAAAATTAATAAGAAGACTGCGTTTATGCTATCAATCTTGCACATGCATGCGGGGATGACCTCATTTACTGGATGTGTTTTGGCACATTTTAATGATTTCTTGTGCATGAAGAGTTTATAAAGGATGCAGCATGTTGTAGGTAAGTACTGTACAAATTAGGAAGTTTGAGGTTAAAACAATTTAGACATGGGCTGTCCAAATCGAGTGGTTAGGCAACTCAAAAATCATTGCCAATTTGATACTTACTGTTTTTTATCAAATAGCGTAAGTGATATAATAAAATCATTTGCTGCATTTTATAAGTGCAAGCGTAAAGCTTATTAGCCACTGGTTAATTCACTATGTTGTTTTGTTTAGATGTGCTCGCGCACTCGTATACATTTTTAACTGCCTTTGGGGCACAGTTATGGATTATAGTAAATGGGACCATATTGAGGTATATCTATGGCTTCTCTGACTGGTTGACAGGTTTCCGATGATGAGGATGATACTCATCCTAACATAGATACCGCTAGTCTATTCCGTTGGCGTCATGAGGCTCGTCTTAATCGTGACCGCGAATGGAAAGCAGAAAAAGAAAAGTTTGAGAAGGAAAAGAAAGAACACATTGAAGCGTTGCAGAAGGCTCGCTCACTTTACGAGGAGGGTGTCAAAGTTTGTCTTTGCTTGTTGTTAAGTATGCGTAGAATAATGCCTCAAATGTAAAGGAGTTGGAGGAAAATCTGAAGAAGCTTGAGGTTGCGGATAAAGAATGGCAGGAGAAAGAAAAAGAAATGAATAAAAAGGAAAGAGTATGGTGTCTTTGGATATGATTTAAGTATTTGTAGCTGCGCCCCCTGAACGTCGATACAATAAGCCATGAGGGAAGGTCTCGAACGGTATGTTCACCGGTTTGCCATTTGACTAGTTAAAATCTGTTGCCGTTTTAAGTTTATACTGCAATGTTGTTAAGGCTTGAATTAAGTATATAGTTATTGCTTACTATAGTTCATCAACAAAGCGGCTTTGAAAGAGAAACCGAAGGTTGACGAGGACGATGATGATGATGTCCACGAGGAGGCAGCGGACCGTCTTAGGGACTTTGTGAAGAAGCATGAAGCTGAAATCAAGAAGTTTGGTATGTTTAGTCGTCCTGTGGACTCTCAACAATACCTCCTTGAAAAGCCCTACCTTGTATGCGACGAAACTGCCAATCATCTCGTCTTGTGGTGCCTCGACCTTGCCATGGAAGAAGTACGTCAATCCTTACTAGTTCTTGGCACCTTTTGATGCGTTCTTTGCAGCTAAGCTTTATTTTTTGATCTTGAGTGAATTTCGTCAAGTTTGGGCTATTCACTGTATTTATGCGCCATTCACTTCCAACGTCACGAATGTGACAGTTGTTTCCTTTTAGTACTTGCATTGATCACATGGAATGGTTTGTGTGTATGCGTGCGCTCAAGTGTTATATGCTATTTTTTTGTCCAGCATCATGTTCGCTTTCCTCGTCAAGTTGTATTATTTTTGATGAAAACGAATGTAGGTAGCATTTATGCTTTGTAGACCTCCGGCTGTGCATTTTCTCCTAAGAAGGTTTTTTGGACGTTGGGAGAGACTTTAAATATTGAAGGTTTGGGCCATTGTATATTTTGAAGGTAGTGCCGCTGAGCGAGGTAAGATTTGGGGAGCCCCAGGTGTCTGCCCAACCAAGAGCAGGGTTAAGCGAACTTTCACCCTTGCTTTGGGCTCTTATTGCTGAAGCTATTTATGACTCGGTTGTTGTTCAGTCGCAGCTTCTCAAATTGTCATAATGCTACGACACGGTGGTACTTATTTTACTGCTTGGATGTTTCTGAAGTAAACGGGAGGCTTCGGCAGTATGCTTTAAAATTTAGTCAGAAAGGAATAATTATTGCCAAACCAAGGACATGGCCCATTTTGGAATTGATTGTTGCTTTTACTGTCATCCCCCTGTTAAGCAGCAAACATTGAGGACATTGCTAAAAAGCACTTTCCATTTGGGCGTGTACGTGGTAATGGAAGTCACTAAAGCCCATGATTGAATGTGCGACGGCGTCAAGATCAAAGATGATAAGGTCTTTACGACTTAGAGTTCTTTTTCTTCGCTGTATTATTTGTAGAAGTACAGTCTGCTGGATCACGTTTCTCATCAATGCATTGTGATGCAGTTCATGCTGGAACTGGCTAAGTCCCTCAAATGTGACCCACGGTCTTGCATTCGACCATTCTTTAACAAGTGAGCCTAATTTAATGTTTACTATTCGATTGGTCTTCCAAGTGTTTGCATGGCCCGCTCGTTAGCTTCGGCCTTGAATCAACATTGGTTCTGATTTAATTTTTGCCGTAGCTTGCTACTTATTTATTTTCAGTAAAAAACATTTTATCGGTAATCTAAGCAATTTATTGGCTTGACTGATTTCTGGTGCCTCATGTCCTGGAAGTGGCTTGATGGGTGTGCCACTTTGTTGCATGCTTTATTGCGTGGTTTATGCAACTATCGAAATGTCATAACTATCCCTCGGTAGCTGTTCTTTTGTTGCATATTCAAGCGGCAAAATCATGACGCTGTTGTAGTTATTATCCAACTGCACTTTTCGACCGTCCGCTTACAGGTTCATCAACCCAGAGCCTGAGTATCAGCGCATGTTCGAAGAGGAGCTGACAGCCTTTAAAGCACGTATTCGTGATCGTGCTCGAGTGAAACTAACTGAGGCAATGCAACAGTACGAGGCAGAGGAGCGTCAGAAACGTCTTGGTCCTGGTGGTTTGGATCCCTATGAGGTCATAGAAACTCTTCCTGAGGTAGGCGGTCACTGCCTCCACTTATAGGCCACCTTTCAGTTGTAAGGTTTTGTCTGTGGCAAGACTACAATGATTGTGGAATGCTTAAGGTTTGTTAGATGAGGCAATAAATCCTCTTGATCCTAAGATAAATGATGGGGTAAAATCGGGATCAATTGTGTCCTTGCAGTTTTGCCGTCATTAAAAGTGTCAAGCTAAAGTGCTAGACTCCGTTCTTTTCTTCTCATCTCTCAACCTCTCCCCTTTTCCTGCTCTCTCTCCTTTCAGCCCCTTCGAAAGTGCTTCGAGACTCGAGACGTTGAGTTGTTGAAGAAGACACTGACAGAAATGGACCCGAAAGAGGCAGAGGAGTGTATGAAGCGATGCATTGCCTCTGGCCTATGGGTTGAAAATGCAGCTGATGCTGCTGCTGATGTTGGTGAGGGTGAAGACAAGGTGTATGGCGCAGCAAACGGTGTGAGTGTGGAGCCAGAAAGGGAGGATACGAAGGAGGTGGCACCAGCGAACTGCCCCGATAATGCTCCTAATAAGTCGTGATTCTCCTTCACTCTAATCGTGCTTGAGTTTTGTCGGTCATTGCAAACTTTCAAAGCAAAGCTCTGAATTCCCTCTAATTTGACTTCTGTTACTGTTAATTAATTAAGATGGGGGCGTCTTGCTTTTGCATCCCCTTCCTATTACTTCCCCTATGCCAGTTTTTGTAAGATGGAGGGTAAGCAGCGGAGGCAGCATTTAAAGGGAAACGAGGAGGCGTCAGAAAGTGTGATTTTGTCCCCAGGACAAGGGGAGAAGGAGATTTAGTCTCACTTCCTCCATTCGAGTGTCCAGCCTCCCTCATGTGTCCTTCACTGCCCTGTCCGTCAATGCTCCTCTATCAGTAAGTGGCCATCAGTCGCCATCCGGTGAAGTAAATGTCCATCGCTCCCATTAGTGGTTCTCTATGCAGTGCAGTTCAGGTAGGAGAGGAAAAGGGAGAGTGGGTGCTTTACAGCAGCCTAGGCTCGGTGCTAGAGTGAAGGTGGTATCTGGTAGGCTTGTCGTATTCCCATCACCTTAATAACTCTTTTGTAGCTCTGTTCGACGTTCTGACACGGTACTCGGCAGCCTAAAGTGTGACTGGAGCAGAGTGATTGTCCACCGTCTCTTCATCCTCGGCCACGTTCGTCTCCTCTGTACTGGCATGACTGTTTACATCCAGTGCATAAACATTCGGCTAGACCCAATTGGTGCATCGCCTCTTGGGTGCATGAGAGGCTCCTTCTTTTTACGCACCGCCGGCACCACGAAGTGGGTATTAGCGATGTCAAAAAGCCAGTATACGCACACGCACACGCACACGCACACGCACACACAAAGAGACGCACCGAGGCGTTTCAATCCTAGCAGCGAGCCTCGCTGCACCAGGACTGCTTTCAAGCTGCTTTTTTTGACACTTTTTGCTTGGTGTGTAAGTGAATCAGAGAAGTAAGTCGATAGGCCTTGGAAATACCTCATTTCTTCCACCAATTCACGAAGCCTTCTCGCCCTCGGTGTGGGACAACAGCGGATACCCCTTTTCCCCTCACCTTAAATATGACTCTGGGGTCAATGAAAGGTGGTGTCTAGGCTGCCCTTTGGGAGGTGGGCACAGTCCCGAGGATTCAGTCTGGAAAAGGGTAGATTGAACCCCACAACCAGGTTGTGAGTAAGCCTCCACCACAGGCGAGTTGATGCGTCAACAATCGAGGTGGTTGACAAGGCAGGAACGTGACTCATCGCGGGTGAAGATGACAGTGACCATTTTCGTATGAAATTTAGACAGCCGATTCAGCTTTTCACCGTCCGTGAATCAGATTTGCAGTGTAAAAATACGTCTCCAAGTTTGGTAGGTGAGGGAGATAAGCCTGTATTCCACTTTCCAACTCTTTCGAGCGTTTACCCTCTCTGTGGTAGTAAAGACTAGGAAGAGGTCGACTTCGACCCCAAAAATGTCCCTGTTGAGGAATGCAGTCTTCAGTGTTAAATTTGAGATTGAGGGATGCCCTTCATCAGAACAAAGATGTTAGGTGTTGAAAAGTAACGGTGTGCGGGCGTACGCCTCGTGGAGAGTACAAAAAGGGAAAACATGATTACTTCTACTCTTAAACTCGCTAAAATTGTCAAATATACGTCCACGGATCACTGCCACCATTTACGCTCACTTTTATTAGCGGAGTTAAACCTGCATGGTAGTCCTCAGCAGACAGTAATTATAGACTGTTGTAGAGGTCGTAAGAATTTTGATAGAATTGTTATGTGAATAGGATATAACCAGAGAATGAACGAACTACTGGTAAGTGCATAAAGCGTACTAGTCTCTCACTTAAGTGAAGTGAGCTCAGAAACCTCAAAACGCTATTCAAAGAACAAACCATTAACCACAACATGAAGACCCAAACGAACGAACTGAAAAACTGCAAGGGAGAAACGTGGAGGCTGTTAACCGTAAACCAAACACACACCATTTCATCACGGTCTGCTCAAGAGTAACGGAAGGACGAGAGACAAACAAGGACGGGAGCCCACGCACCCCATGCAGGTACCATAAACACCACACGATCAAGTGACCCAACGGAAGATCGAGGACAGCCCGCAGTCTCATTCGCCTCAAAACAGCGAAGAGCCTCAAACACAGCCGTAAAGGAGATAAGCAGCCTCACATCTTGCATGAAACCCATCAACCCCCTTTTTGCGCCGATTTACCAAAAAGATATTGTAAACTAAGAAACGAGATTCGAAATACGCACAACGACTTCATTGTTGGAACACATTACGACCACAAACGGTAAAAGAAGCAACAGGGAACAGGATTAGCGTAGTACAATTAGTAAAAGGGATAGTGAACTGCCGGCCGATCCATTTACAGCTGACCGCAGTCAGTGATTAGTACTTCTTGGGAAGTTTTGCCACTAGTGCTACCGACGGCCTCCATATCCTTAACGACATCCTCACCGGACTCTACCTCACCAAAGACGACATGCTTGCCATCAAGCCAGCTTGTAACGGCGGTGGTGATGAAGAACTGGGAGCCGTTGGTGTTCTTGCCCGCGTTAGCCATAGAGAGCATCATCGGCTTGCTGTGCTTGTGATTAAAGTTCTCATCTTCGAATTTGTTCCCGTATATGCTCTTCCCACCGGTGCCGTTTCCGGCTGTGAAGTCGCCTCCTTGACACATGAAACCAGGAATGATTCGGTGGAACTTGGAGCCCTTGTATCCAAAGCCCTTCTCTCCAGTGCACAGAGCACGGAAGTTCTCCACTGTTTTCGGAACATCATCGAAAAGCTACACAAATTATCAAATCTAAGCGGCTTACGGTGAAGACGATGCGACCTGCCGGCTTGCCACCAATGGAGATGTCGAAGAAGCATTTCACGCCCATTGTTCGAGAAGTTTAACCAAATAGGAAGAACAAGTGGAATGTCAGCTTAAACAAAATTATTAAAACAATAGCACATAAACCTCCAAACGACGTAAAGTAAAACAATGCAATGCTGAAGAGGTGCTTTTAGGCTTTTACTGTTAAAATTTAATTTTCGATGGCTTCAAACAAAAATTGTGATTTTTATTATTACTTTACGTCAAACATTTTATGCCTGTGTTAATATTATCGCTCTTAAGTTAAGCTACATATGTCAACAAAAAATTCAAAGTGGAAACTTTTATCACTTTCAATGTATGCACAGGACTAGAGACTGTTTTTAACCGGAAGCTTTGAAGCTTATTTTATTATATAATAATACGTTTAAGTTTGCTTCAATAAGGAAGAATTGAGGAGAGCACTTTAAACACAAACCCAGTTCGTAAGGAGTGTGAATAAACGCCGTCAAGTTGCCATTAACGTCCCATCTAATCGATTTTCCTCCTCCCCCACCACCAAAATAATTCCTTTCGCTCTGCACAAGATGCTTGATAGAGCTTCCCTAACTAACTCTCTTGAAGTCCGAGGCTCAAGGAGATGAGGGTAACCATGTAGGAACCGTCTGCCTTCTCACAGTAGATTTATTAAGCATTGATTACAGGAAGAATGATTATAGGAGTTCAGATAAGCCTAATGGCAGATATCACGCGGAGAGGGATTCCTCACTGTCCTCACGCACGAGATTCGCGTTCCAAATTGGTTCTCGCCTACCTCCTATAAAGGTCAACTTAAACACTCCGGTATACATTACACAGCCCCTCTCTTAAGCATCGTTCTTGGTGCTGACTAGTAGAGTTACTTCAGGCAGCTTCCCTTTTTCTGCCAATGTATAGACTTTGTCTGCATAACATACTAAGGAGCACCAGTATATGGCCTACCCTTGTTATGATGTGCTGTTAGAGGCTGAGTAGCGATCTCCACAACTGAACGAGATAATTTGTGGGCGACAGGACTCTGATTATGCGATTGGGGTTCCTTGCTGCAGGCGGGATTGGTCTATACAAATGCACCAAATCTTCCTCTTTGACGACGTTTGTTCGGCTTTATCTATCGTAGGACTGCTTTGCCTAAAGTATGCTTTCTTTAGCTGTCTGCTCGCGGCGTCAAACGCTTTTCTGATGTTTTCCTTTAGACGTAAGACAATTGAGGCGCGTTATCCACTGACGGTTTCTTACGAGGGAGCAAGTGTCGGTAGGGACTCCCATTTCACGGCCTGTGAGCATTTTTGACGGTGAGACTCCAGTCTGGGTGTGAGCGGAGGCTCGATAGGCAAGGAGGACCCGTCCTAGGTATACATCCTAACTCCTGGGCTGCACTCCTTTAGTAAAGGCCTTCATTAAGTCGACAAGGGTGCCCTGAGGGTGACACGGCGTCGTACGCGTCTTATGGATTCCAAAGGCTTTGCACAGCTCTTTGAAGAGACAGCTTTCAAAGTTTGACCTTGATCGCTATGCACGGAATCAGGCACGTCATGTTGGCAGATCCAGCGATTGAAAAGTTCGGTTGCTACTGTCTCAGCCTCCTGTGCCCGTAATGGCTCGGCTTCCGCGACTTTGGTGAAATAGTCTACCATCATCAAAATATAACGGTTCCCTCTCGGAGTTGTGAGAAGCAGACCTATGATATCTATTCCTACCTGCTCCCTTGGAAGCCTGTGGACATCGGCTGTAGAGGGACTACCACCGTGAGGGTTGATTTCTTTAAGCTGGTACACATGACACATGCGCGACAAAAATCGGTGACATCTGATGTCAGCGAGGGCTATCAATACCTTCCTTCCTTCCTTTCGAGCATCGTCCTGTCCCCCACGCGGCCAAGTTGCTCATGCAATTCAAACAGAGGTGTCTGCATCAAGGAACCTGGTACTACGAGGCGTTTAGGACCTGGCGCAATATCGTCTTTGTGCCACATGACGTCGTCTTCTAGAGAGAGTTTTTCCAGTTCTGCGGGTTTCTCCAATGATAGGAAATAAGCTCGCTAAATAATAGCGCACCTACGGTGTCGCTGTTCGTGGACGGTGATGAGGGTCGCCGTGACAGCGCGTCCGCATTGCTGTGGGAGCTTCCTTTCCTATATTGCACTATAAAATCATATTGCTGAAGCTCCTCGTACCACCTCGCTACGGCACGATCGATCTGCTTCATCGTCTTCAACCATGTCAGTGCTTGATAGTCTGTCCTCGCAGCGAACTGCTTTCCTATCACGTAGTGTTTAAAATGCCCGACCATTGCGCAAATAGAGAAAAGTTTCCGTTCCGATGCACTCTTCGGCTTCATCTTTTTGCTGAGATGTGAGCTGGCATACGCCGCCCACCGCCTCGTCGCTTGCGTCTGTGTCCAGCACGAAGGGACGAGCCTAGGCATTGAAGTTTGGTCAAGTCAAGATCAGCGCCGCGCAGAGAGCACGCTTCAACTCCTTAAACGCTTCTGTGTGTTCGTTTTCCCAACAAAATTTCTTTTTTGCCTGTTTCTCTGTCAACTTGTACAAGGGATAATAATAATAGTAGCCACGCTAAGGAAGCTGCGAATTTCTGTTTGGTTTGTAGGTGTCGGCCAAGTCCTTACTTCCCTTGTTCTGTCTTCTGTGACCGCCGTCCCGTCTGCAGAAATTGTGTGTCCCAGAAACGTGACCAACTTTTGAAGAAAACTGCATTTCTTCGGATTCAACGTCAGACTCGCCTCCCGAAGGCGATCCAGCACTAATCGGAGGTTGGAGTTATGTTGTTTGATGTCTCTCCCGAACACGAGGATGTCGTCCAGATAGATAATGCAGTGTTTCGGGAGCAGACCGCGCAATGCTGTCTGCATAAGTCGCTAGGATGTGGCCGCCGCTTTAAAGCCCAAAAGGCATCGTTTGGAATTCATATCATCCATTTGGCACGCTGAAGGCTGTTCTTTCTCTATCCTTCTCCTCCACCTCCACCTGCCAGTAGCCGGATTTCAGATCCAATGGTGAGAACCACTTCACTCCTTGCAGAGAGTCGTTAATGTGGGGTTGAGGGAACGCATCCCTCTTTGTTACTGCATTGCGCCTACTATAATCGACGCATAGACGTAGGCTGCCGTCACTCTTCTTAACTAATGCGATGGCGGAGGGCCACGGTGACTGGCAGGGTCTGATAACGTTATCGCGCACCTTCTTGTCAATCAATCGATGTACTTCGTCTTGGAGGGGTGTTGGTATGCTTCTCTGGGACTGCCAGACCGGTTTGGCCTCGCCCGTATCGATTCTGCGTTTGAGTATGTTCGTTCGTCCGAGTTTCGCTCCCTCCCATGAGAACATTTGAGCGTAATTCTTCAGGAGTGAGTGCAGTTCCTTCCTCTCAGCTTCAGTAACCTGTTTTGGTTGAGCGCAGAGGTCGTTTATAGATTTGTCCTGGAATGGCAAGGTCAACGAAAAGCGATTTGCATATATCATCTGCAACATTCTTTGGCTTAGCGATCGAACGCTTCTTCTTGAACCTTCGATGGGTTGTGAGCATGCTCCGTATCAAAGTCCATAGTCGCGAGGGACTGGCATAAGAAATCGGCTTTTAGCAGTACGTCCCAGGCAAGTTCTGGACACAGCACAAAATTCCCAACCAGCTATCCTTCCCCATTGAGACTCTGATAGATGCTTCTCCTATTACCGAGATTTCTTCTCCTTCTGCAGAGCATATTATGTTAGCCGGTGGGATAATATTGACCTTGCTGCAAACCATGGGGAAGGCTTGTAAGTTTGGTAGGGAAAGGGCTGCCCACGAGTCCAGAAGGAAAGAGCATGTGTGACCTTCTATCTTGCCCCGTACACGCATCAAAGTAGGAGATCGTGAGGAAAGCGGGCACGACAAAGAAAATTCTGTCTTACTTTGGACTGAGGAACCAATTCGGAGCGCGCGCCTTTGCCCGCCAGTAGTTAACCGTAATTCGGGGGTCCACGGGTGAAATCGAGTGTTGAACTCCGTTGAGAATTGGAGCTCCTGGCACTTGGAGAATACCGCGCCGATGAGACGACTCAGTCTGTTGGTTCTCATGTGCACCAGTTGTTCTGCCAAAGTGGGTGGACGTACATCCCCTTTAAACTGGGCAACCCGCAGAGGACAACAATCTTTGAATTGCGGTTTGGCTAATAACTGGAGACTGCTCACGAAGTCTCCATCACTCTCTCCAGGTTTTTGTAAACAGTGGAAAAAGTCTGAAACCAATAATTCTTTCTTCTGGAGGGACGTCAATTTGACAAGAACCTCACAGCACTCTCCGTGCAGGATCGTAGAGCTTGAGCTCTGCCTTTGTCGACCGGCGCTGCCACCAGTGTAGGAAATGCCTATCTTCCCTCGTGCCCTTGAATCTCGGATTCCTAGGGAGGGTTAGTTGCAGTCGATTTATTGGACGTTGGTTACAGGAAGAACGGGATTAGGAGTATAGATGAGCCAAATAGCAGATATCGCCTGAGAAGGTGTTCCTCAGGGTCTTCACGAACGGGAATTGGCATTCCAAATTGGTTCCTGCCTCCTTTCTATTAAGGTTAACTTTACACTAGTGTATTATTAAAGGTCAGACCGCCTCTGCGATGGTTTTTTTATTTATCGGTGTAATGCTTTGTTTCCGTGACTACCTGACGTTCGGTGGTCACTTTAGGATTTGTCTGGCCCTAATTCTCGTGGACTGGCCTTCGGGCCACGCTCAGGCCCATTTGCTCTCTTCTCTTCGGAATACATATATTCAAGCCCCACTTACAGCCTTCTTCTACCCTATGGGAATTCTCGCGTCGCTACAATCGGCAAATAAAAGTTAGAGGGTTTTTAGATGCCATGGTTTAAGAAATCGCTTCAGGTATACGTGATACGAGAAACTCAGCAGTAATTTAGACGCCTATATCAACCTCAGCAAAATCTGAGGTTTAATAGTGGATTATAATCTCGATTAGCGTAAAAGGCCTTTTTCGCCCACAGAAAATGAATTTTTTGTGTTTAATTATCCCCTGTCGCATTTAAACACCCTCTATAAATTTCAATACTGACACTATTTTGTATATATGCGTATTAAAGCTCCAATTTTATTTGGTTTGAAGCAAGGCAAATTAAAGTGACATTTTACTTACAGTGTATCCCTTTAGTTCAAAAAAATTGATTGTTTACTTTATGTAGGCTTTGATCGCCTTTTGTTTGGTTTATTATGCACACATCCCGCCCAGTTTTTAATAATGCTCAAATTCTACTCCGAGTTTACGTCTATAGCCTTTGTCTTCATTGATGCTCTTCAAAGGATTAAAATTTCACGGGTAATCATTGATTTTGTGACCCACTACAATCTCTTGTCTTTAAGTTCTTCAGCTATAAAGTCACAGGCGAAGACTGAACCGCTGACAGTGTCAGTTCCAATAGCACCTCTTATGATGGACGCACACTGTGGTGCAAATGCTCCTAAGCGCCTCATATTTTGAGTAAACCAAATTAATATCCTTCTGCTGTAATTCGAGGGGACTTGGTGCACTTGAAGTTCGTCGATGGGACCGCAAGTCTACCGATTTGTTCTGCGCATTGGATAACTCAAGTAATGTGCAAATGATCCCTTCGGATTTCCCCCATTTCCGCACATATCCAAGTGAACTAAACAGTTACATTTGTTGCTCTCTACCTCGTCAATTTTGAGCTGCCAACACCCGTGTCCACTCGTACCACGGCTTCCATAATTACCTCCTTTCCTCAAGGCCATTACCGCCAATGCAAATAAACAAATAGGGAACTTTACAGCTTACTGGGTGAAGTAATGAGTAGGAATATTAAGCTGCTGTTGGATAATGAGCATTACTCGAGAGGTTGAGGTCATAATTATAAAGGCATTTGAGAAAATAATTTGGGCATGGGCCAGGGGAGGGAGGGAGAAGAGAAGGGGAGATGAAGAGTCACGGCTAAGGCGATTCGCTTCTTCTCCTCCCTGCTCATTTCACGGTTCAGTAGATGAAAATAGGCGGTAGCCGTCATGTTTGGTCGACTTGACTCTATCAAGGCGTTGATGTTGCGGCTCAGACTGCAACGGCTGTACTACGATGGCTTACATTGGAGTCAAAGAAAGATAAAGGCGCTTCTGGGTGTGCTTCAAAGAGGAGGACGATTGCCCAAGCTGTAAATCTGCCTCGGACTGTCACGCAAGCCATTTTAGTTAAGCGGAAAAGATGACGAAATTGTCACCCCTGATTCCCACACTCTTCCATTCCCTCGCCATTCCTGCGACCCACCATCTCCACGTCCTCATTTCGGTCAGAGATGGCACAAACGTTAGTCGTTCCCTTAATCGGAGTCACATTTGCGTATGGTAGAAGGTATTTCCATGGCATTCCTCTTTCCCATTCCATGACTTCCGCCTAATGCCCAAACCAGATCAGGCAACATTGGCGGTGCCCATAGACTCGCTTAACTATCAGAGCTGTCTCTCAGACAGCGACACCTCTAGCCAAAACAAAATGACCACGCGCCAAAGCGAATGGAATAAGGCAGAGCGTGTATTCATTATATATGCATAGGTATGATCGTGTAATAATAACCATTACTGACGGTAAGACAGACAAAAAGACGGTGCAAGGGGGAGGAAGGACACGGAGGGGGAGAGAGAGAGAGGCACTGACCGAGAAAGAGAGAAGGAAGGCAGGGGGAGAAAGGGAAGTTGGGAGCATGGCACACAGATGCACGTGCACACACGCACACACCTACACTCACACAATCGGGATGGAGACGGACGGTTTGGATGGGCCAGGGGTGAAGAAGTCTCCTTGGTGTTTCTTCCACTTTCATCTCCCATACTGCCTCCTCCTTTATCCACTCATAATCATCGCCATCGTCACGAAAATACTACTATCAACCACATCAGTAGCACACGCGGTGGCGGTAGCAACGGCAGAGAAGGATGGCGAGAATGAATTACGATGGCGAAAAGTATGCTTCTACTCAAGGAGGCGGCAGATTAGGGAGCTGATGCGTAAGCAGGCATATCAACTTAATCAAGGAGACGGTGAAACGGGATGAAGGAGCTGAGTGAGGTGGAGTGTGGAGCAGGGTCAGGGGGGAGGGCGGAGTTCAGTCGGGCCACGGAGAGGGAGAGAGAGCAGAAGTTTAAAAAGCCGAAGGTGGAGGATGTTTGCGAAAGCTGCTGCAGAGTCACGGCGTCTACACGAAAGCAAGTGTGGCTTGGAGAAGATACGGCGAGGATGGTGACTGTCCAGGGATGGGTGCTGTGCAGGGGATTGCGTGTGTGTGTGCTCGAGCATAAATGTGCTTGGATAAGCAGGTGATTTCACGTAGTTGGTTTACTACAAAGAAGAGGAAACAAACACAACCAATGCAACGTTATTTGACAATTCTTCGAAAGGGTATTTGAGTACTATTAGCAGTTTCATGCCACATTGTCTATACCTACAGCCACTTAGGCATTCCGTGTGCTAATAATAAACATTCCTTTCATAGTGGAAGGCCTCGCTGGCTACACGAAGATGATCGAGATTTCTGTAATACAACTAACATTCATTGATGGGAGTTAGAAGTGTTCAGATGGCGATAAATGTTGGTAAAACTAACCTCCTCTTCATGGTCCGTGGAGGCAGCCGCCATGGCGCGTACACGAACGGTGTGCGCGTTAGCGTTGCGAGCACCTGCGGCCGGAGTAGCGCTGGGTCCACGGGACATGGAGACCGAGGAGCGATTTTTGGCACGTAATTTTTGTAATGCCTGCTCGGCTTGATCAGCACGCTCCTCAGCGTCCTCCACCTCGTGTTGAATCTTGCGATATTTGGCGAGGTTCACTGCAGCAATCTCCTCGGCCTCCTCCACCTGTCGTTTGTACGTTTTGATCTTGCCTTGAAGTTGATCTACCAACTCTTGTAGACGATCGTAGTTCTTCTTGTCTTCATCCGCCTGCACAGAAAAAAATATATTGGCAAATTACTCCGTGAAAGATCTCCAATCGGTCATAATATGATTTGGATCCATTTATCAACACACCTGCATGGTGACTTCCTTGAGACGACGATCAATCTTGCGGTAGTTCTTTTGAGTCTCGCCATGGCGACGTTGTTCGGCGTCCAACTCGGTCTCAAGTTCGCGAACACGTTGTTCCAGTTTGGCGAGAGCCTTCTTGCCACCCTTCATTGCGTTAGCCTCAGCTTCCTCCAGACGAACTTGAAGCTCCTTCACTTGTTGCTCAGCCTGTTTGCGAGCCTTCTCGACATGCTGAGTATGCTCCTGCTCTTGACGAACCTCCTCGAAGACGCGAGCGCTGTCGGCCATTGCCTTCTTTGCCCTCTCGTCCGCCTGTTTGGCCTCGTTTGCGGCCTCCTCTAGATCGGCCTGAACACAATCAATTGCGTCAGTTGAGTATGCAGAGTTTGGTTGAAGCTTCTTAATTAAAGACGACAAACCTGCATGGCAGCCAAATCGGCCTCCATTTTGCGTTTCATGGCAGCGAAGGAAGCGCTCTGTGCCGTCAACTCCGAAGCACGGTCAGAGGCTTCAGCGCGTTCCATTTCAGCAGCTTTGCGAGCACGCTCCGAGGCTTCGAGGTGGGTGCGGAGGTCATCAAGTTCTCCAGCCAGCATTTGGGCTCGTCTCTCCGCAGTCGAAGCGTTCTCACGAAGCTCCTCACGAACATGTTGGTCTTCTTCCATTTGACTTTCCATTTCACGAACTTGTTGTTGGAACTTCTTGGCATTCTTCTCCATCTCAGCGCGTCCGCGGTTTGCAGAGTCAAGTGCAACTTCCAACTCGTTAATGTCCTGCTCCAACTTCTTCTTCATACGCATTGCGTCAGCCTTGCCCTTAACCTCGGCTTCCAGAGAGGCCTGCATTGACTCAATGGCGCGTTGGTGGTTCTTTCTTGTAGCCTCGAATTCCTCTTCCTTCTCCGCCAATCGTCGATCGATTTCGGAGCGGACTTGGCTAAGTTCCAGAGCTGCACGTTGAACCTTAGCCTCTTCCTGTTCCAAGGCTGATTCGGCTTCCTCCAGAGCTGCTTGAAGTTCCTCCTTCTCCATCTCAAGACGTTTGCGAGCCTTATCAGCCTCGTGCACGGAGCGACCACCTTCTCCAAGCTGTTCGGTCAAGTCGTGGATCTCGTCTGTTGGATAGGGGATAAATAGACGGTACTAAAACAGTGTTCTCAAATACAAGCTCGAGTCTAACCAAAGGACACGAAAGCTATTATCTACTGACAACGCCATCAGATGACTGACAATGCCCCTTCGATGTACTCAATTAATTGCAAAAAGGCTCACCAGAAAGATTCTTGTTCTCGCGCCTGACGGCCTCAATTTGGTCATTGGACTCTTCCAATTGGGCCTTCAAGCGGAACACATCAGTGGAGTAGCCACGCCCTTCACGTTGGGCATTCTCCAACTCAGCTTGAGACTCGGCATATTTGGCCTGCCATTCGCCCAGAGTCTTATCGAAGTTCTTTTGCTTCTTCTCCAACTGACTGGCCAGTCCATTGGCGCGCTCCACATCAACCATGAGATCTTCAATCTCACCCTGCAATCTGGCCTTGATCTTCTCCAACTGACTGCACTTCTGTTTCGCTGACTCGGCATCGGATTCAGCCTCCTGCAACTTTGCAGTGAGACGGCGTTTCATCTCCTCAAACTCCTCAGTCTTAATGTCACCCTGACCCTTGCCAACACCGGCAGCCAGTTCAGACTGCAGTTTCTGAATCTGGCGTTGCATGTCAGATTTGGCGGACTGCTCTTCCTCAAGGGACTCACGGAGAGCATCCAAATCGGAGGTTAGATTGCGCACCTCGGAGGTCAGCTTGGACTTAGCCTAGAGACGAGAGGACAGAGCCATGTGGGTACGAATAGAAAAGCCGAAATATGATGGCGTTGAATGATGAGCCAATCTATCACTCACCCGAGATTCCTCATCCAGATTGCGTCTGGCCTCCTCCAACTGACTAGCCAACTGCTGCTTCGCCTTTGACAGTTGACCAATCTGTGACTCGGCCTCCTCCAACTGGCGCTGCAGTTCAGTAATGTCTTGAGAGAGGCGAGCCTTCTGCGAGCCAGCGTCGGTGGCTTGACGAGAGGTATCGTCCAATTTCGCCTGCAATTCGGCAAGTTGGGACTCGCAGGTCTTCCAGTTCTTTTCCGCGTTCATCTTCTGCTTAGTGATGTTGGCAATCTGGACTTGCAGGTCATCACACTCAGCCTTCAAGTCGGCCTTCTCCTTCTCAACCCTGAGATCGAAAGATGGTCATTAAGATTGCAGCCTAACCAAACTATTTTAATCTGTAAAAGCACTAAGGATGAAGTATTTGGATTGAAATGAACATGAAAAGCAACTCGGTAAGAGCATTTCATCAAACTCACTTGGCCTTGAGTTTGGTGGCTTGATCAAGTTGGTCAGTGATCTCGTTTACAGCATCAGCTTGCTTCTTGCGCAAAGCCTGGACTTGTTGTTCATTCTGAATGCGAGCCTCCTCAAGATCACGCTTCAGTTTAACCAACTCAGCTTCACGCTTCTTGTTGAGATCCATTTGAGCAGCAGTGGCACCACCTTGCTCTTCAAGACGGTCAGAGACTTCGTCCAATTCGGCTTCCAGCTGAAGAGGAGTGAAGAGAATTGTAAAGAACTTCACAGACCATGGGAAGTGAAGTCAAAATCGACAGTATAGTTAACCTGTTGGCGAGCCTTCTCCGCCTTGCTACGAGCAGCACGTTCTGCCTCCAAGTCCTCCTCGAGTTCAGCAATACGAGCCTGCAATTCTTTGATTTTGCGTTGGAGTTGGTTGATCAACCCTTGATCCTCCTCGCTTTTGCTGCCCATGTTGGAAATCTCGACATCCTTGCGGCGCAGCTGCTCCTCAAGATCACGTTTGACACGCTCCAAGTCATCTACAGTTTCCTGAGTGGACTTGAGGTCGCCTTCAAGCTTCCTCTTCGCCTTCTCAACGTCTCCACGAATCTTCTGCTCACGAGCGAGGTTCTCCTCCATCTAAAAATGAACCACTTGCTTAGATACGAGACGCAAAGGGAATTTTGTGAGCTGCGCAAATTGTTTAACTGACCTCGTCAAGAGTGGATTCGAGCTTAGCCTTGAGTTTGTTAAGGTGGTTAACTTTGTCCTCCTCAGCTTGAAGGGCTTCAGTGGTGCGCTTGTTTTGTTCCTCGAGAGCCTTCTTCTCCTTGTTCAGGCGAGCAATCATATCCTCCTGCTGCTGCATTTCGCTCTGAAGCTGTTTAATCTGATTGTCCTTGGCTTGTTTCTCCTGTTCAGCCTTCTGCAGAGTGCTTTCCAAATCTTCAACATCCTTCTTCAGCTCGTCGATCTCAGCAGCGAGCTTCTTCTTTGCCTCCTCGAGATTCCTATTGGCGTCCTCCTCATCATTTAAGCGTTCCTCCAGTTCCTTAATCTGCTGTTCCATGTCAGCCTTTTGAAGGATCAGTTTAGACACCTTCTCCTCGGCATCAGCCAAGTTATCCTGCTCGGTCTGGAGTTGGAGGAAGATGTCATTCTTCTGTTGAAGAAGGGTTACATTTTGCTCCTCCAGTTCCTTCTTCAGTTTTTCAAGTTTCTCGAATTCCTCCTTCATCTTCGCCAACTCCTCAGCAGCCTTCCTCATCTCCTCCTCCTGACGAGCGATATTCAACATCGGCTTGACCTTAGTGTAAAGTCTCCACCATGGCCATGTACGCAACATGAGGTACTTGCGAATATTGCGTTGGATTAGAGCAAGAGCGGTACTGTAAACAAAAGAAACATTACCATGACGAGCCACTCAACGTCATTACAACTTTCTTTAGCAAAAACCCAACTTACCGCTGATCCTGCAGTTTCTTGTACTCTTTGCGCATCAGATAGCCTCGAATTTGGGCCTGGAAGTTGGAGATAATCTTGCTCAACTTTTCATCTCGCATATCTTCCAGTTCGGCCAGAGTTCCAGCCTTGAAGAAAACTTTGGTGTTGCCGCATTGATAACTATCCTTAGACAGCTGACAGGCATCGAGAATCTTCTCAGTCACTTGTTTTCCATCCACAAATCCGGCAGGAATAACGTTGGGTGCCAGAATGGAGTATCTAGTAAGGAAGAATGAGAATAAAAATAGACCTAGAAACCTACCGTTGTTTGAACTCGGAGTAGACCATTCGGTTGGGGAAACCCTTGCGGCAAATACGGATGCCTTCAAGCACACCGTTGCAGTGAAGCTGGTGCAGCACCAGGTGAGCATCGATCACACCTAAGATGAAAATTATCCACGTAAATTATGCGTACTTATGATGAAATCAGTAGAAAAGTAAAGTTCACTTGCCAGGTTGTTTGAACTCGTTGGGCACAATGCAACGAATGAAGCTGGGGCTTGTGCTCATCAAATTCTTCATCAGTTTGTTCAGAGACTCCTAAAAGAGATTATTGTAGAAGATAAATTTTCTCAAAACTCCCCGTAGAGGACCAATTCTCGTACCATTTGCTTGCAGACGAGCAGATAAACATGCATCATCCAGATCATGCTCATGCCTTCCTCACAAAATACCGTCACATCTTTTCCCGTTTCCGATGTGGCAGTGTGCCACCTGAACTATATCTGACTACGATGGACAAATCGTAACAACGACAGAACACGTGAAATCTGGACTAGTGGAACAACATATATGGCTTATACTCCTTTGAATGTACTCTGTGTGTCCCAGAAATCGTTTGCATGGCACCGCCCTTCCTTCGCTTTGTACCTGTATCTATTTTCAGAGAGGAAGAATGAGTAAATCGCTAAAGCGATGCATTATCACTTGGCGAACAATCCCTAATTCCAAACCATAGTCCACCTATTCGGTTTGTTGAATCAATGATTCAAAGCACCGAGTGCATGACCCAAGTCAACGTGCGAGAAGTGGAGCGGGCATTTGCATTTGGAAATGAAAAGTTGTCTTTACCCGATGTGTATAGGTAACGGTCATGAAAGAGCCTGACTTCTTTTTCTTGGTTCCATCTAGGCAGCAGCAAAGTATATACATTAACAGCATTAGACTGCTACTTATTAACTATAAGTAGGGTGGATATTGAGACTAGTTCGGCCTTCAATCAGGAAAGTTATTAAAGTATCAGTTTCATGCTTTGCATTACCTTCAGGAGGAGCAAACATGTGGGCAACAAGAGATTCCTTGGACTCCTGAAGTAGATTCACCACAGTATCGTTCAGTGGATCCTTGTTCTTGTCCAACCATCCGGTTATGTTGTAGGGCACCTGGAAGGACAGGAAAAGGTGTTTAAATATGCCAACGCTCAACTAGACGTTAAGTGTTCAAGAATGGAAAAAAAACTCACAGAACCAGCATAGTGATGAAGCTCAAAGTGAGCTTCCCTCTGTCCAGCCTTGGGAGGTTTGGGCTTTGCGAAGTTCGGGCTCTTGCCAAGATGGTTGTCGTACAGTTTCTGCTTGAAGGTCTGGTCTGTAGCCTTGGGGAACATGCACTCCTCCTCCAAGATTGACATGATACCCATGGGCTGTAGAACAGATGAAAAGGAAAAACAAAGGAGTAACAGAATTTGTTGCAGAGGGACTGAAGAACATTAGCAGAAGTGGGAGAACTCACCTTCTCAATGAGATCAATACAAGCCTGCAGATCCATGCCAAAGTCGATGAAGGTCCACTCAATATTCTCCTTCCTGTATTCCTCCTGTTCCTGAACGAACATGTGGTGGTTGAAGAATTGCTGTAGACGCTCATTTGTGTAGTTGATGCAGATTTGTTCGAAACCGTTTTCCTAAAAAAAATAAAGCAATGAAGAACGTGGTTAGTGTATTGATGAAAGCTCTACCAAACCTATTCACCAACAACGCACTTCAAAGATCTCAAAACCGGCGATATCCAGCACACCAATGAAGTATTGGCGTTTCACTTTAGTGTCCAGAGTCTTGTTGACACGACCGACCAGCCAAGTGAAGAGTCGTGAGTAGAGAGACTTAGCCAACGCGTTGACGGCAAAGTTGACTTGGTCCAAATTTTGACCCTTGGTCACCATCTCATTGCCCACCTTGACCTTCGGTTTGAGGAAGGAGTTGAGTAGGTCTTTGGCATTGACTCCCAACAGGAAGGCAACCTTTTCAGCCTCTGCTGTGCCATCAGCTTCAGCTTGTTCTTCACGTGGACGCTGTTTGAATTTCATTTCACCCATGTTGACAACTGAGGTGGTGCATTTGAACAGCGACATCCTCTCATCGTTGGAGAAACCGAGAATGTCAATAGCGTCATCAGTCAGTTTCATCTCCTCTGCGTCGTCCACACCGTCGATAGTAAGTTCACCTTGATTGATGAAGGAGTAGAGGGCAGGATCGGCGGCAACCAGAAGCTTGTCTAGAAGACCAGATTGAGTGAGCAATGAGGAAATGTTGATGAAGTTGGAGGCTGAAATGAATCAAAATCGACTATTCACCGTGATACTTCTTGCCGTAGTCGGAGAGCAGTTGGTAGAAGATGTGGAAGTTACGCTCTCCCTTCATTTGTGAGGTGACACGAGACTTCTCCAGCAAATCTAACCAAGTCGAAAGGATTAGCAAGGAACTTAAAATTGGACCTACAGAACTCAATGTCAGCTCCAGCAATTTTTCCCGTTGTGCCGAAATGGATACGAATGAATTTACCCTAGACAATGCAAAGGAGACGTGAATGTGGAGACAAAGAGGGGGACAAGAGTCAGCAGTGAAGAACTTACGAATCGGGAACTGTTGTTATTTCGGTTGGTCTTAGCGTTACCATAGGCTTCCAGCAGAGGGTTAGCCTGTACAATTTGGTCTTCCAAGCTACCCTTCTTTTCCACATCCTCACCCTTCTTTGCAGGGTTGGCAGTAACAAAGGCAAAGTACGAAATAACCTTCTTCGTGTTCTCCGTCTTACCGGCACCAGATTCGCCTCTGTAGTGAAGATGGAGAAGGAGGTGAGTGGAGAGCACTGAAGTACACGCCCAAATCTGCAAGAAGCTAAAAAAGTTGGAACTCACGTAATCAGAATGGACTGATTCTCACGATCCGCCAACATGCTGTGGTAGGCGTTGTCAGCGATGGAGAAGAGATGAGGCGGCATCTCAGCACGCCTCTTTCCCTTGTACTTCATGGCAACCTCGTAGGAGTAAATTGGGTACCGCTTGTAGGGATTAACGGCAACACAGAAGAGACCGGAGTACGTCTAAACCAAAAAAATGGGGAATGAGGAGACTATCTTCGCAGTAAGAGGAGCTCATTTGCTTAATAGCCACCCTAACAAGGTGGAGAGGGACGCATGAAAGATGTAAACACATATTCACATGTGATTTGGTGGTAACAAACTCACGTAGATAAGCTTGTGGTAGTAACGAGTACGCAGATTCTCCAGCACAGAGGCATCATTGAGGTACGTCAGGTCAGCCATATCCTCCGCCATGATGAATTTGGGCGGATTCACCTGTTGGATGTCGTCTTTCTTGATCTTCTTTGTCTATCAAAAGGGGGAAGAAAATGAAGGTTAAAAAGGAGGTGGAGGAAAGGAAGAAGAGGCGGAAAGAAAAAAATGAAGACTTACATCTCCATCCTTAAGCCTGACCGTGACCGTATCGCCGCTAGTCTCCACAACATCGGCCATCACGTAGCCTTCTTTTTCATCTTCCACCCAAGCAACGCTCTTGGAATCGAAGCTTCCAGCCTCGGCTTCCTTTAAGAGAGCCTTGCGGTCCACACCAAGGTATTCGAAATCGGGATCAGATGGGTCCATTTTTGTTGGTATTCGTTCTCTTGATAACTGGTAAGCAGTAGTAGTGTCTTCTTTTCAAACAGTCTTCAATCGAGAAGAATTCTAAAACAAAGGTGACAGGTAGGAATGAGGAGAGAACCCCTTGTCAAAACTAATAGATCCAAGAAAGGAATAGGGCACGCACAGTGCAAAAGAAGAATCGAATCGAGGGGTCGAGAGCACGAGCAAGAGTGAGACAGAGAGAGCAGTCGAGAAAGTTCGGTGGCAATAGGATCTGAGGCTCGCCAACCGCGCGTGTATCTGTTGGGAGGATGGAGGCAGGGTTTTATACCTCTACACAGGCGACCCGTAGCAATGAGCCCGCCTGACCAACAATGCTGCATCGTCCGCGGCCTCCCATTGGTGCGCTGTGTGCCTGCGGTGCGGGCGTATGTGTGCAGGGCTGACGAGGCGAATCAATGCGGTAGCACTGTGCACGCAAGCCCTAACGGTCGATGGCTGGCCTGCACGTGCGCACCTCCACACACACACGTTTGTTGGAGAGCTTTTAAAAATCACGTCACATAATCACTTTTGCAGCGACCAATGGGACAAAAATCGATAATCAGCTGACAATGTTTTGCTTTGAATGCGCGGGGGTTATGAACTCCCCGCAACATGCAAATTTATGCACTGAAATAGGGACATTAAATTTATAATGTTTTTTGAGAAACTTTTTAGACGCATTTCACATTTTTATAAATCTGGGAGAGGAGGGGACGAAACATTATTCTCCTTACACGGAGGGATAAAATTAAAGGGAATTTGTTAGATCTAAAATAAATTAATGCTTAAATGCGAGTATGGAGTTGGCTTTTCTTGAAATACCTCCAAAGTCTTTCATGCATGATACAGGAAAGGGAGGTGAGTTAGAATCATATCCAAAACACCGAGTGCACTGTTGACATGGGTAGAGAAACAGAACAGATTTGTTTTAATGGCATCTCGGATCTGGATCACAACCTGCACCATGGGACATAGCGACGAAGCACCTGTTTGACAAGCTTGTTGCTAGGGTCGCGGAGAGAGCTGGACCACCGATGACCAAATGTACTTTAAACGTATGAACTGCCGATGGATGGGTGTTTTTTGGGGAGAAATTGAAAACCACAACTGTGTTTGTGCTTCAATTATAATAAATAAATGATCCAAAAGTTATTTTACAAACCACTTATTTGTCTGTCATTGCCACTGAGCCATTGAAATTTTTTAGGAAGCACTGAACTTTTGCAAAACCTATTACTTTTTAACAAAGATCAAACGCAAGTTTACGACTTGTGCCTTTGGTGCTTGTCTTCAAGGAAAAAAAAACCAACAGGTGAGGGGAAAGGGAAGGCCTAGTTTTCGAAAAATGAACCCCTCAAACCCTCCGTGTCCGATTATAAAAAACTGATCGAAATGTCGAATTGCGACCTCCAAAATGGCGTCATCTTTGAAGTTGCAGTGGTTCGGTTGAGGGAGAGCTTTTACCGTCGAACCCTACAAGAGGACGATCAGGGTCCAGGTGCCATCAGTCGTGATCACTTTGCTACCAGTCTGAGTTGGAACTGCCGTTTTCTGTTTAAAAGTCATTTTAAAGGTGGACTTAGCTACGTAGAAGTTTAAACCATCTTAGTGTAGGGATAATGAAATAACGGGAAAGATGGCTGAAGGAAATTGGCCTCCTAAACTATAAAAGACCAATGGTCCTGCAGTTTGGTGGAGTCGGAGCCACCGTTAACTGGCGAAGCAGGAATGGCATGCATAAAACGAGTGGATTTGCAGTTATCGTTTGATCACTCATTGTTATGTCATCTAAAATTCACACTAACAGTCCATATCATACTGGACCACCACATGATAGCGCAAAAACCTTCATCAATCAGTTATGTGGAGTGTTCCAACGAAGTTGTTTTGAGATTTTGGGAGTAGAGGTGATGGTTATGCCTGACCTAATTACCTGGCAAGCAAAGAAGAACCTTAAGTTGACCTAATTGGAGTCTCGACCCCAAACCAATTTTACAACGAATCTTTTTTCATCTCCAATGCATTTACGATCTCCTAAACCGATTAATTCAGATCCTAAGTTGTCGTGGTGCTGGACGCTTAAATCCTATTAGTAGCACAACTCAAAATTGTGCAGCGAGAGGCAATGGGGTGAAGATTTCGGTGGGAGGTAAAAGTGCTTAGTGTGCATAATGAACAAAGTTAACAAGCGCTTAAGGAACCAAAAAGCACCCCTTTTGACACTTGCATTAAAATAATTTCCATCACTAAACGAAAGGGCGTTAAAATTACGAGCACGATTCTTCTAACAATTGTCTCGTTGTACCGGCGTGGCGTTCTTGCCCGCTCGAGGTCGGAGGGTCGGGAGGATTGGAATGGCACGCATCACCTCTCGCCACAATGAAGGGAACCAAATTCATTTGTTAAATTGTTCATTTTTTTTAGCCAAATCACAACAGCACAAGAATGAAAACGTCTCCCTGATTAGATATGCATTTCATGTACTCCAATTGACAAGCTATTATTCCTTTGGACTGCATAGAATTAGGTTTGCATTGAATCGCATTTTTGCCCTGTCATAGCCCCACACCTTACCCCACGTGTAGAGTGTAATTTGCCGCAGTGTTTCTACCCATCTACACTTGTCACGAAGGCCGAAAAGCGTCGTAATGGTCTTCACCCATCAACTCGTAGATTAAATAAGCTGAAGACGCATTAAGGCTCCCTTTAATTGGGTCCTGATTTATGGAGATTGGCAACTGTCACCATAATAGCAAAGTTTAGTGTCGACTTGACCCTAAGACCTTGGGAGAAAGACGACCAGAAGTTATGGCAGGGTGTGGATTGTTCAGATACCCAGCGATCGCAATGATCGGTGTGATTTTTTGCACTCTAAACCATGTAAATCATCAAAACAGATGACGAGGCGAAATAATGAAGTGCGTATGGATTACAGAGGGTAAAAGAAGAGCATTTGCTAGCAAAACCTAAGACAATGACACTAGCTCGTTTTCTGTGCTAAAACTGACAAGTAAGTCAAGTTTCCCAATCATCAGGCAAAGTCAACACCAATGAAGAGAACGTTTGAGTAAAGCACTCGCCTCTATTCTGAGCTCCAACTTACAAGTGGGCTGAAGGAGACATACTTGCGATTATCAACACTTCTTGCCACCTTTTACCAACGGGAGAGGTAAAAGTGAGATCAGCTTAAACAATGTCAACGCAAAGGAGCAGACCTCCAAACGTCTCATAAAGAGACTATCGTTTCCTGATTTCGACTTAACTCCTTAAATTAGCAAGACTTTTTACAAAGTTTCGCCCCTATTTTTGCATGTATTGGTTCGTTTTTAGTTCACAATGTTTGCTGTACAAAAAAGTCGCTGAAGAGCAATTAAGTAGACTAATGAATAAAATTAAGGTTGTGAATGCACGCAATCCTTCTTCTCCCATATTTAATTTTTAAACGGGAATGGGATCACATAGATGCTCAAGACTCTGTCGTTGTAATCAAATTGGACGGAGTGGACGCTAAGTCATGTTTGCATTCTCTCACGCATTCATATGCCGGCAATATGTATGATGACTAAGTGCCATGGATCAGTTAAATTTTGGAAGGAACTTAGAGATCCATTTAAGTGACATCAGTAGGTGCCTAGATTGTTAGTTTGAAATGCCAAAACTTGGTGCAACGAAAGTAGAGTGGGAGGACTATTTTCGATTTACACCACGAAGGACGGAGCACGAGTTACATCTTTTGAGTTTACCTTTTTTATGTTCGGTGGGAGTGCCGGAAAAATATAAAACCTTAATGAAAGATAAGAACTAAGTAAAAGATAAGAATGAAATGATGATAAGAATGAAAGATAAGAACTAAGCCCATATGTGTCAAGTACTAGGAGCTCCAAAGCAGAAACCAAGAGGGAAAGGGAATTCGACTCGTAATCTCATTCACACACTGCTATTTCAAGCACATATGTATGAAAAACGACTTGACTTCTGGTTTAGTATCCAGTTGACTAATTATGGACATTCGGAATTTCCAGCACATATTTCTTACTCTCAATAGAATTCCAGAAAAAGGAATAAGTGCACACATTTGGAAAGCTATGCATCATCAAGAATTTTCCTTAAATACACGCAAATTCTCTACAACAATTGCTTAAGAAACAATTCTGCAGAAAAATATCATTTAACCAGATTTTATTTGATCCGACACTTTTAAACCAATTGAAAGTGAGCTTAATTCTGACCAATTGTAGTACGAGTAGGCTGCGACCTACTCATCTTATTGGTTATTAACTTCTCAATTCCGTGCCGTAGATTAATCGAGGGTTAACCAATGAAATGTTAGCAAAAGCAAAAATTCTAAAAATTTCAAAATTCCATTAAGTATAAGAGTAATGGTAAACTGTGTTTACAGAAACATAATTAGTCACAAATAGCATTAATTTGTAAGGTTCAAAAAGGTCTAAAAACTAGTATTAAAATGCGAGAAAAATTGAAATGTGTGCACAGGTGGATGGGCAAGTCAGCATGTCGAAAAAGTTTTACGGATCTGCCTACTGCATCTAAACTTACTTAACTTCAAATTCACCGTGTTAACGTTAATGTAATATATATGGGTTGTTCAAAATTCATTTCATGGGTTGAATATGAGGAATTATGATTAAATGTAGTTCTCTCAAGTAGAGCAACCTTTCAAGTTAAGGTCAAAACCGATGGTTTCCTCTTTACGCTTGCAATACGTTTCTTGCATGCGTTGTGCCTTATTGCGTTGTAAAACTTACCGAAGATGACAAACCCTTGAGAAGCTTGTCAAACTAGAAGGGGTGGAATGTAGGGCAGAGGCTACAGCTAGAGTTATGTAATTGGGAATGAACTGTGCTTAAAAGCTTTGCACTGATGCAATGGTGTAGAAACCTAAATGCCTTTTTAGGTATCATGGCTATTATCGCTACAAGAGGGATAGGATTCTTGCGGATAGACTAACCGCCACCACTAACAAATGAAATGTCCGAATGATGTCCTAACAATTATGTACATGAACTTTTGATTCTATTCTCTGCAATACAACTAACAGAATAAGGCATTATTTGCTTTTAAATGGCAAATGTTACGATCGACTAACTGCATGTCACTGAGGTCAGACCGTTCAGTAAACGAACGCTGACAAAGCAGGTATTAACCCTATAGCAAAGACGAGGAGACAAAAATCCAGAGTGTATACAACTGCCTTCAAAAATGGCTAGCATGCGATTTCTCTTCCAACACAAACACACCAGCTCATCCCTGCCCCCCTTCTTCCTTCCCAACATGTTTTACTACCTTCGTTTTTTACCCTTTTTCCTACATTCGACAAACACTAAAGCTTAAACGAAAATAGTCAAAAGCTGGCTCGAGGCTAGTTGAGAACTACCTTTATTGAGGCAGAAGACATGACTTGTTTGTTCAGCTCCTGGTTTTGTACTTTATGAACTTTCTACTCTTTATTTCAGTAGTGCTTGAACAAATCTTGCGGATGGATTGCTTGCATTAAGAAGTCAAACTCCAGTCCCTTTTGCCACGTCGTAAAAGTGTCTAAGGCATCTCTCACAATGAAATGCCTCCACTTCATCCCCATTCCTCTTCTTAATATCATTGCTTTAACCTGCAAAATAATTTTCTGCATCTTACATTATTAAAGGCGAGATTTTTTAAAAGCCTAGTATTCTAGTAGATAACGAAACCGGCACTTTGGAATCCAAGGGATCAATTGATCACGCAGCCATTCAACTTAACATTTTCGTCCCATCATGTCAAATGAACTTAAAGAAAACCTTCCCCTGCATCTTCGCCTTTTGTGCCTTTGAAGGCAACTTCCAGTCTAGAATTATTTGCGCACTGCCTGTTGGATGGTTTTGTACCTTGTTTTAAAAAACCCTTAAGGCAGTATTGAGCCAGGGTTGTGGCCGGCTAAGCATGAGTTTTAAATGACTGCAAATGATTTAAAAGCAGAAGCTTCTGGCTTCTCGAATCTGACTTTGAATACATGCCTACTCTCATCGTTTGACATTTTTTAAACAAATTAGGGCAAGAGGCATACAAGTGTAGTCATCTTTTACGCTAATTTTAATGTGATTTAATACTTTACTTTCGAATATCTTCACTTGGTTCGTCGCACTATTTGAAACAACAAGCATTAATATATTGAAATGGCGGTAGATAGATCTAATAAAAACAAGTTCTTTCATATTTTAACTTCGTCAGTTCCAAGTGAAAACGTGCCCTCAAAGTATTTCACCGCTGTAGAATGATAACGCTCAGGGCAGACGGCCAATGGGTTAAATATAGACCGCTACACCGAGACATCAACCAATCAGCGTGGGCGATACAGTGGGAGCTTACGCACTGCCGCGAGGGCGAGAGAGGCCCCGCCTAAGGCGGCGGTCACGTTTACACCACGCGCTGCTGCTGGCCTGCATACTGATGCGTGTGTGCCAAATAAACTCCGAGGTGAGGACCACCACAAAAGCAACCGCTGATTTCTCGATTATGTTCCATGGCAGATAATATTATGTGGTGCACTTGAAGAAGATCAGTAGTAGTGCCGTGCAAATTAGTGAAGGCAGCATTGTCTATTAACAAGGCGGATTCTGTGTGTTTCAAGTGTGTGTATGCTCATTGAACTCGGTGGCGCTCCCCACCCCTGGAGCAAAGGGAAGTTTGCATACTACTGAGACACCGTGGTAGGATAACTGTTGAAGGGAAGTGAACTATCGGTACTCAAGCATGGGTAAATGACAAATGCTTGCATTACTATAGTGGTAGATAATGAAACATATGTTCATTGAAATTATTTTCTACAAGAGACTGAGTTAATGAGTGATAGACATAGTAACACTTACTTTTAATCGAGAAACGCCTTGTTTTAACCCTTTATTACAATTTTGAGTTTGCGATACGAAAACTCATCTGACAAGAGGTCTGAATTTGAAAGCAAGGAAAATGGCTCACTGTACGACTGGCTGCTGATGCGATATTGATGTGGCTGATAGACTTTGGGGTTTAATGCAGGATGGTGAAATTGCGAGGCTTATGCGAGGGAAGGGAGCACCTTCTGGTGGCATTCTGTAAATGGGACAGAGCCTTAGCACTGACTCATTCAAAGTGAAAAATGACTAACTCGCAATTGCCTCCACCTAGTAATATGATGGAAAGTGGCAACATTCCCACTTGTTTTTAAATGCATTACTTTCAATGTCGGCCTTTACAACTTAGAATTCGTCCAGGGCTTAAGGATTATCGAAATATCGATCCATCTTCCGCATGAGATCGACTGCCTTATCTATCGTTTAATTGAGCTGTCGTCATCGATCTTCGCTTGGGCGATCAATACGCCCTCGAATCAAGCGTGGTGATGGCACAGCTACCACCGCAGCCATTGCAACAAGAACTTTCAAAGTTAGTGGGAATTCTTTGTTCAATATTTATGTGTACTCAAATAATTCACTGGATGTGATTTCGCGTAAAGAGTTGCTTCTCGACGTAGGTTAAAGGGAATAAGCGTTTCTTTGCTGTAAAGAGACACAAAAACGAGCCCGAAGGCATTTCCACACGTACACATCTATGCCCATTCGCCCAGTCATCGTCTGCGATCCTACATTCGCTCGGCCATCCGCCTGCAATTCCACGTACTCTCGCACTGACACTATCCACACAACGCAGGCCATATTTGGCTTCTGATGTGCGTGCAATCGATGGTTGAATGTGTTGTTTGATTGGCTAGTCATATGTCCAAGTGCGGACGTGCAGAGGTGTGCAGGCATATTTGTGATGTAACAGTGTGGGGAGGAGACGTGGTGGACTTCAAACAACCGAGACTATTGATGCAGCACTAAGGCCAACAGGTTATAAACGTCTTGGTGTTTTAGAGATCAGTTTCATATGCCATTACCGATTGCATAGCATTTTAATTCAAACAGCTGCGTCAACCGGAACGCCGGATAAGGGCAAGAGAGTAGTCACTTAGGTAAATTTCTACTCAAATTGGAGTGAACATGGTCATATCACAACAAGACTAGTAAAGGCAGTGACTTAAAAAATTTCAAATTTTTTACATCATTGATCGCTTTGCGACATTAAGCGGAGTCTTATAATTTGCTACTTATTATTTTACAGTAAAATAATTAACATCAAAACTATTTCCAATTAGCAAAATTTTGAATGGAAAACCTTCGGCCAAGTTTGACATATTCATAAAGTCAGTAGAGGATGCTTTACAAACATGAGGTAAGGGTGTGCATTGCCGGCCATATGGCTTCATCCGCGTGGACTGGCCTTCCAGACTGGCATAAAATACAAGTATACGCGTTTCGCATGGGAAGCTTAAAGACCAGATAATTTTTGTTTGCTGTCCACCTATTCTGCAGGGCAGGTAAAATTAAGTGCATTGGGATTCGAGGGAAGGATTTTTGTTACAGCAAAGTCCTCTCGATCCATTAAGATCAGAATAAAACGCTATGCTTTAATTGCTGTTGGAATTATTAAGCACATAGGTTTTAAAAAGACTGGAAATTTCTTTAGCAAACTACATTTAACACCAAAGCCATGAATTTACGTCATACATGTAGTTTTCAAAGAGTCATTATGAGTGGCTTTTCCAAAGAATCGCAACGAGGTACAAAATAAATTTAAATATATATGACCGAAAAGACAGACATAACTAATGCTAAAATTCATATTTTGTAGATAAAGAAACGCAAATCTTACCGTAAAATATTATAAAAATTGTTCGCAATTCTTAATAGTTTTTAAGTCCATTTAACGCACTTACGGTACAATATTTGATGAAACGATTCGGCAGTATGAAGGCTTTTATAAAAGCCAGAGCAAAGTGTGCTCCAAGTGATACTGTAGATGCAATAACTACATACCCAGCCAAATGTCCGCATCATCTCCTACTTTTAAGACCAAGTTTTTAGACACAAAATGCCTCTGACGTTTAACTAAAAAGGAAGTGAACCGAAAATGATTTCTTTACATCAGCTTATTTATTTATAGGAGAACTGAGTTGATAGTTTTGGTCTAATTTTTTAAAGAAGACTAGTAGATATGTTGAAATATTTTTAATCAATCTCACTGCAAGCTTTAACCTTCAACAGCGCGAAAAAAGGTGTTTGCTATCCTTCTGTCGTTGAGGTTGTGGTGCATTTGCGTCTGCCGCGTAAAGGTAATTTATCTTTGAGGTTTATTGGCACGAGCCAAAATCGCTGCATAAGAAACGAATTCGTATTTTTGATGTTGCAACCAGATTAGGCACAACTCTGAGTAATTGCGGCAACTCTGCAAGAAGAGTGGATTATGGCTGAAAATAGGAGTGGTACTCACAGTAAAAGGTATGTGTATCATGCGCTTTCAAAGCAGAACCCTTTCCAAATTTCAGTAAATTGCTCTATTTAAATGCAGACATAAACGTCGACGCGCTAATCGGCAAAGAGTCGAAAATCGCGATTCAGACTCAGACTCGCTATTGGAAAGCGACTTTGGATTTCAAAGTAAAAGTGATTTGGCGACAAGTTGTCGCTCCAAAAAAACGACTGGTAAATTTTTTATCACAAAGAACTGAACTTTTAATCGGATCATAATGGAATTTTACCTTTGTCATTGTAGACTCAGCCTTACGAGCACTTCTAAAAATGGCTAATCAGAGACAAGCTTGGAACTTTATCAAGATTTTTGGAATTAAGTAGGTTTTGGTGCAGTTCTTTGTTATGATTTGCGATTAGGATGACTAATGAATATGCAACATATTGCCCTTCCTCTTTAGTTTTGCAAGAAACCTTGAGAAAGTAGATAGTGGTAGTTTTTGCGAAGTGTTCGTTTGTCGAGAAGAGAAACTGGTTCTCAAAGTTCTTCCGGTTTGTGAGGACAGCACACTCAGAGGAGGTTTTACAAAGGTCTCTGAGGCAACGAGACACCTCACTGCTGCTCGCCTAGTGTCTACGCTTGATGATTTGGGCGGGTCTGGTTTTTGCACGAGTACCTTTGAGAAGATGAATCGTGTCTACATTGTGCAGGGATCTCCCCCTATTTATCTTGAGAGGGGTTGGTATAGATACCTCTGGCGATGCGGACATTGTGATATCATGTATCCCTGTAAGTTTCCATATCATTTTGAGAATGACTAGTCACCAGTTAAAGACTTCCCCGGTTTGATTAATCAAACTCTCATTCTAATCGCCATTTACCGCGAGGTAGAATCTTTCCGTACCGCAGTATTGGTTGCATTGTTTTAGACCATCAGTGCTGCGTTTGGTCTTCCAAATGGCAATGGAAGTCACATTGAGTTGCGACTCGTTGCTCTAATTAATGAAAAGTGCATAGAGGAATTGGGTCTTTTAGTTTTTATTCTGGGACTCTATAGTGCTTTTTTAACTTTGAAATTTGCTTTACTTGGATTTTAGACTCCAGGCTCTCCTCGGAACAGCTGTGGTTCGTGATGGAGTGTGAGCTGTGCGGGATCCCCATTCATCGTGTGTTGGTAAATACTGAGCACCTTTCGACAACTTTTTTACACCCTCCTGTTCACGTGCCTTATATCCAATCCTTCTCCATTCTTACAGCTACCCTGCGCACAGGCACGGCTGTCCGTCTTCGCCCAAGTCGCTCTTGCGTTGGCCGTTGGGGAGAAGCGATTGCAATTAGAGCACCGAGACCTCAATTGCGGCAACATCTTAATTCAGACAGCGGGGAAGTGGGAGGATTGTTGTAGCCAGGTGCCTCCCACTTCTTGTCTCGAGGGCCGAGTCTACCAACCATGTCGTGGACCCACCGCCAAGATTGTAGACTTTACATTCGCCCGTCTGCATCATGGTGCGTCATCATTCCTTTCATCCTTGCTGCATTTTTTGATGCAATGTCGACGAAGTGTAGTCTTTGGTCCTCCAATGGACAGAGGATTAAAGTAACCTTGTGATAATTTATCAACGAATGAGAGAGTAAAATCAGACTTATATTGTCATGACACATATTTTGAAAGCCAAAAACTACCCCACTATCATTCTGATTCTACTATCATTTTTTCTTCTTAGGTAATTCTACCGTCTTTTATGATCTCTCTATCCCACCCGAAGAATTTGTAAGAAATGATCCTCGAATTGCAGTGTTTCGAAAAATGAAGGAGGAAACCAAGTAGGTTCAGCTTCCTTCACTGCTATTGAAGCACAGAAGTTGGCATGGAGAAGAGAGGCAATTCTCTTAACTACCCATTGTTTAACCTCCTTTTCACAGAGGAAAGTGGTCTCTCTACCGTCCACGCACCAATGTCTTCTGGTTGGAGTTTCTGGCAAGGGTATATCTTGTACAACACTTGCGTGACAGTCGTGTTTGGCGTGGCATTAAAGTCAAAGCATGCCCAATCCATTGTGGTAGCTACGATGACGGTGTCAGCACAAGGACTCTGGGAGAGAGGCAGGAGGAAATACTAGCCCTACTGAAGAAGTCAGGGTCTGCAATGGATTTTGTTGCGCTGGCGCAGAAGCGCGCTCCCTACTTATTCCAAATTGAACGGCCTCAAGAAAAGAGAAGCAGCTCTTCTGATAAAACATAGGTAATTCATATCCTTTCGATGATTACGAAACTCTCGATGCTATCATGTCTATGCTATGTGAGTATGATGGTCCTTTGCAATCTTGTGCTGGTAAATAAATGACGTGTACAGTGAAGGACAATGACTGAGTTGTAAGAACTGCATCAAAATCGGGGCTTAGTCGTGCTCTCGTTGACCTTGCGCATGTGACAAACTGGATGACTTGATTCTCTGGTATAATAAAACACGCAATAAGATTTGCCCCTCATTATTGTAGCAAGGGAAGAATTACATGTCGTTTGTGTGTTTCTGTAAAGTATAAAAAGGTGCATGGAGGGAGGGGTCAAAGGTGGTGCCACGTAGGTGGGAATTTTGAGCTGAAGGAAAGAGGGGATGGGAGTAATATGGAGGACAATTGAATCCACCAATCAAGATCCTGCAAAGCCATTATCCTTTACGAGTGTTTTGAGTGCGCACATCGAAACAAAACACCATCTTGAAACTAATGAATTAAGACAAGTAGCTGCTTGAGGCGCACTGAAACGTGATGTTAAATTGCCTCACCAATACACTCAGTTTGTTCTTCAACACTCAACAGCATTCCAACAAGTCCCATTTCATGATCGGAATGTGAGAGCAAATTAACAGAGCTCTGTTGATAGCGACTCGTACTTTTGCTGACTCATGCGGTTGTGATCCCCAATCTCCAGCGTGGATATGGAGGTGACAACAGATCACCAGCAGATCCGATTGTCACAGACTGAGTGACTAAGTACTCATGCGACCCACTTTAATTCGGAGACAGCTTCAGCCTGAGGCTGTTGGGCCCAACTAATTTTCTACAGGATATCTGGAATTCTTAATTGGTAGATTGAGAAAAAGTTAGCAAAAATGCCGTATTTGTGCTGTTTAAATGCCCTTACTAAAGCGGGAAGAACGTAGGCAACTATAAGCGCATGGAAGGTTGATGATCAGTCTCTCTTATTGGCTCTAACGAGTAACTCTGGCTAAATTCACTAAGCCTTATCGGTTAAAGAGCATGAAGGTGAAAGGAAGCGTTAATAGACACTCCTCTCCTGAAAAGAATGACCTTAATCTTGAGAGTGGCTCCAAAGTGCAAGATTATAAACCCATCCCTAGCATTAACGACAAGGAATGGCCTCAGTCTTCAGTAGTCCTCCTCAAACTTTGCTTTTAATCGAAATAGATGGTATAGTGTTTGAACGCCTTAGCTCAGCTGGAGGAGGGAACAGACTGTTGCCGGAAGATGCGTTCCTCATTATCGAGACACCGACTTGAGGGATGCGAAACACGGTAGGGGTACTTTGACGTCCAGTGAAATGCACCCATCAAGGCTCACTTCCCGACGAAATGGCTAACTGAGTACCAGCTCCTTCAGCTACGGAGTTCGACCTACCGTCATACTTGAAAGGCTTCGCACGATACCCGACAAGGGTAAACTCACAACTCCAAGGTTATACTTCACTGTGCTGAGCTCAAGGAGCGGAGCGATCCTCGTTTTCCTAATTTGCATGCTTTTGGATTGCTGCTAATCAGATAACCAACCTCAAGGCAAATCAGGAGGACATCTACGCAACTGCTTTTTGATACGGGTGAACCTAAAATAACCGAATATGCAGATTTTCTCCATCCTATGCAGCAAGATTCAACCGCCACCTTTACGACAAAATTGTGCTCAGCTGGAGGAAGAGAGATGATCAGAGCATGGGGCATGCCCAATGTCGTGACCACCCAGATGTATGTCGCCTCAAATAACTGATGCTAAGGCTCACTTGATGCAGGAAACTTTTTAAAGTCTTAAAATTACTTTACTCTGGCATTAGGGAGGACTTTCAACCGTTTTGTCAAGCCGATGAACTAACCACAGCGGAAAAGGCATGGGACGGATATGGAATATGGCAGATTATCGAAAATTTCGGCAAATTTACATGCCAACTGTTTCAAGTGAATCTGTAACGCTTCCCATCAAAGTGAAAGACAAATATCAACTCAGTTATTAATCAAACAAGACGCTACTGGAGAGTGTTATCGGCACACATATAGGACTAAGATCCAAGTTGAGTCGCTCATTATCAAGATTCAGAAATCGTCTCATGGTAACTATATTCAGATTTTGACAGCTTAACCATGAGCAGAGGGTTTGCTTTCATATAATGCAGATTTGGAGAAAATGTCATTCGAGGGGAAACAGCCTCATTAACCAAAAGAAAAGCATAAGAAATGGCTTGCATAAACGAACTTCTATTTACACGTTTTTTTGAGATTCATCAGAAAAGTAATCAACCCTCTTGCCTTTGACCCACTTCTTTTTACCTCTAAGGGCTCGTAGACGATCCATTTCATCTCTGAAGTCCGCGTGTTCATCTCGGAATAGACCAATCTGACGCAACCGGGCAAGAATCGCAGAATACTCCTCAAGAGGGGGGTACCAATCACGGATTTTTATTGGCTCCGGCAGTTCACTCATCAATCGAACAACTTTTGGAGGAGGGTAAACTGATGAGGTATCGCCGAAAATTCTACTTGCCAGTAGTGCTATTCGCTTCGAATACATAGTTCCCTTAGAGGTCATCTTAAATTTGCGTTACGAAATAAATGAAAAAATTGGTAAAAGGGAACATATGCGAACGAAATTAAAGGACAAGGAACATCCCACACACCTTTTCGTAAGTCGCAGCCTCGTAGTGTAGATTATAAGCACAACATATTTATCATATTTAGTTATAAATGCCTAAAAGGTATCATACTAACAATTTGAGTTGCACGCATAAGAATTCTGGTTAGCACAAATTATAAAGTTGTTATTGAATTTATGTTTCAAATGCACAGTAGTTCTCACGATGCGTTCGCACATTTGCCAAGGCCTAATTTTGAACTCTTTAAGTGTTTTGCTCGCAATGTATATTGGTTTTAGGAATCGTTTAATGAATTGGACACAATCTGGATGCAGCGCAGCTGCAGTTCGAGACCATTTCCTTGGGCCAGCTTAGATCCGTCTTTTGCCGCTTTGCTCCCTTTGGTTGCGTACCTCTAGAAACGCCTAATAAATCACTTTAGCCTCCCGAGGCTCCCAATGGGGTAGTAGAAGGCATAAGTGCGGTTGAATACACGTATTCCGAAAGCAATAGGAGAAATGGTGCCTGAGCGTGGTCCGAAGGCCAGCCCACGTGTACAGGACCCAGATAAGTTCTAAAGTCACCGCCAAACTTCAGATAGTCACATAAACAAAGCATTACACTGCCCCTCTCTTCTTTTGAGCGACGTCCTCGACGCTTCCCTTTGGTACACCTCCTGCCCCAGCCATCACGACATATTCGGTGCTACAAGAAAGCATCCACGAGCCAACCGCGCCAGTCGACAGACAACGCGA